TTATAATAATAATAATAATAATAATAATAATAATAATAATAATAATAATAATAATAATAATAATAATAATAATAATAATTATTATTATTATTATTATTATTATTATTATTATAAAACTATTACCCACGGAGGAAAAAGTTAGTCACGAGCATTTTATCGATTTATTTATATTTAAGCTGGACTGTGGAGTTCCTGAAACAGTAATTTGATGTAGGTACTATTTTGTTATTAACTAGTGTATTAATAATTAATTATGTTGCCTAATTGACGCATTGCAAGGTATGTAGTACATTCACCTTAAAAACGCTATTTGGTAAACATTTAATGTTTACAGTGTTAATATAATTAACGAATAAGGAGTCCGCTAAGAGTACCTGAAACAGTTTTTTTGTGTTGGTATTGATTTTGGGGAAACACACGTGTTTTACCATTACTTTTTGATGTACTACCTGTCTTACAAATATGGGGAGACAAACGTTAGATCGCCCTGTATTTATTTTCCCCTCCTGGAAAATTTTCTGCAGTGCATTGATTATTTTTTTTCCATTTAGTACAGTTAAAAAAAATAAGTACTTTGTTTGTACAAACTAGTGAAGTGGAAGTCATTTTACGATAACAGATATAGAAACGGGCTATTTTAAAATAAGCCACTTTAAATCTGTACCTCTGAGCTAAACTGTATTAACTCCACTTTTTTGCAAAAAACAGTATTAACTCTATCTATTTTCAAGAAAAATAAACATAGGTGTTGATCAAACCTGTTTCAATAAAACTATAGTATGTATAGACTCAAATAATCTCTTAACCATCTGACAAAAAACAATAAAAGCGCTATGTACAATTAATTGAGATTAAATTTTATAAACAGCTCTCCTGTCTAAATGGGAGTTAATACAGTTTAGTTCTGAGGTACTGAAATAGTTATCATTTATGAGTTATTTGTATTTATTTTTATTTATACCACATGAATATACAATATACAGTGTCGTCCGTTGAGGATTACACTATGTGCTTAAAACTTACAAAAACGATATAAAAGAAGATTGCTAAATTTAAATAAAGTAAAAATTTAACATTAGCCGTGGTATTCCTAATGCGCATGCTCGGAAAGAATAGCCTCATACGCAGGTGAGCTATTGTTAATATGTTATCGCTGACATCATTAGCGTATTTTCTCTTGTTTTGTTTAATCTTGGCATTTTCTAGTTCTACTAAGCATTGTTATTGTTGTTCTTGGTGTTGTACTGTGTCAGTGTGTTTATCGAATATTTATTTTCTTCAAGTGGTTTATTATAGACGTATTCTTAACCATAACCAAACTTTCCTTGCATGATAACTTGTTGCGAGGCTACTTCGCTTACATGAAATTATCTTTAATGCGCATGCTCAGTAACATTGATATAAATTTAATTTATTAATTACTATGACGGTCAATATTTTTCTATAAATTTACATATATAAATTCTATAATTCTTTTAGTTTGTCACTTGGGGTTTGAAACTTCTTAAATATTTCTAATATTGCCAGACTATCGCAATATTTAAGGTCATGACAAAGGAGCCATTTTTTTGGCATTTACGTCCAAAGTAGATAAGGTCGAAAGTCGATCTAGTAAAAATATTGAGAAATTCTTTATGACACTGTGCACTACGGGGTTGCCTATTATTGCGTTGCGTATATGACGTCACTACTAAAAACGTCTATTGGTAATTTATGGCCTGCCGCAGTTGTTTTTAAAAGCGATATCTAGGAAAACGACTTTTGGAATTTTTTGATAAACAACATGGCTCAAATTTTATTAAATTATAATGCAGAATATTTCTTTTATACAGGGTTAAGGTTTTAAGTTTAAAAATCTAGGAGACTTTGGAACTGCCTGAAAATGAAAATCAACCAATTACTGACCTTTTTTATTGTGATTTTCATCTTATTGTCAATTGTAATCACCATTTTAGATGACTTGCAAATTTTTTATCTACACGCATTTCATCAATAAAACTGAAATAAACTTAATACCTAGGTTTAAAGTTTTAAAATTGTATAAAAAAAAATATTCTGCGATATAAAATGAGAAAATATGAGATACTGAGATTTTAAATTGATGATTAAAATTACGTAGCCAGGTTTTTTTTATTAAGAAACCACTATAACAATGAGCCTTTCAAATAAGGCAGCAGGCCATGGATTGCCAACTGGATTATCGTACTTAGTTCAGCAAGTGCATCCAAAAAGTGCACCACTCTGTATTTATTTTATACATATCGACGCTAGGTAAACAATTGCAATAATTATCTGGTGATAGCAATATCGTGTATTACGTATTCATGTATACTAAAATGAAGCACATATAACTATGTGGTATTTTATACTGTGGAATAAGCTGTTGTTATGAAAATATAATTTTAAAATATATAATAGATTTAACAGTAAGCATAATTTGTCGAAAATACACATTCACAGCACGTTTTGTCATTCAGAAAAACCAGAAACAACTCTGCTACTACTTAGAGAAACCAAAAGTTAGGCAAAAAGTACATAGATAGTTATACTGTCCCAAGCTTGATTTTCAAGAATTACACGGAAAAACTACATCTCGATATCTTGACCCCTTAAAAATACAGAAAATTTTTAATTTTTTGAATAACAGATAAAGGTCCTCCTTTAGCGGTGATCATCCAGAAATTGTTTTTCGTTGCCATTATATCCGTAACTGGTTAACATTATCAGTTTTCAACATATTTGCTGCATATTTTTCTTTATTACTGCGGCAAACAGAAAAATCCAGGTCCAGTATCTTTATCTTTCTTTTTTTTTCTGTTTGTCACTTTGTCAACGTATTTCTACACAGAAAAATGAGGAGGTTAGGTTATTTAACGAATTGTGTATAGATACGCTATCGTGTTAAACAGCATGATATGGTAGCCATAAGACCTTGTTTCGCTATCGGGATAACTGCTGCGTTTTTCCAAACGACATGGAAGTAACTTTAAGCTACAGTAGTGTTGTCTGTTGAACAGGTAGGACATTAATTATTTTTTTAAGTACCTATGACCTTATTGTTGCGTATTTTTTTTTATATATTTTTAATTCAAAGTACGAAGTCAGTTAAGATCATTGAATTAATTTTTTTGGAATAGGACTGGTCGTTGTAAGTTTTTAGCTAAACACAGACCTCGATACAGCTAATTACTTTTCCGTTTGAATGTAGCTCTACTATATTTCATTGGATTCTTCATAATAATATTAAAGTGGGGGAATTAGGATTTTTCGTAACATGGCAATTCTGTCACGTCATTATTTTGCTACGTTATGGTAGTGCCAGCAACGGCCAATAATAGCAGTTGGCGCTGGAATATAAATCTACAGTACATTGGATTATATTGCATGGATACTTTTATATGATGAATCATGGCCCGGAACAATCTTGAATTTCGGAAACAGTGCTCATTATCGATATCGAAGAAGAATACTTTTTAAGGGTGCTCTTTAAAAAAAAAAAATTCTTATCCGAGATGAAGTTGGTTCGGATATATTTTGTTCTCTTGAGAATCGTTACGTGAGTCCTTTAAGTACCTACTATTGTATTTTTAGAAACAAACGGTTATTTAATTATTGCTCTGATTAGGTTCCTACTCTTAATTATATTAAATCAGGCACTAATTAACATTAATCAAGGTACTTATATAAAAAAATAGTTAAGCTAGAACGGCGTAATCATCTCCGAATGGTGAGACTTTTATATGGTGCTACAATATTGCCGTGTAGATGTTTGAAGCTAGAAGAGTCGAATACATTAATATAAAATTAAAATAAACTGTTAATCATACAATTTCATCGAGAGAGAGTAAATATATTATTCAGGTTAGTTTCCCCTACTTTCCTTTTACTTTTACATAAAGATTTACTGACGCTGAAATAGTTAGTTGTTTAATCGAATCATTTGATTAACGAATTATTTACCATGCCCAGTAATGGCTACTAGTGAGTGTATAAAAGTAATATTGACATGAACAGAAAACTTAAAATGTATCGTTATATGTTCTAGTTAAACTTCACATGAATGTGCAAGAAATGATTGAAGATTACACAGACAGCGATGTGGATGATCAGGACGAAGTAAGTTGTTGTTTTTACAAATCTATCTATAATACCAGAAGTTTAATGTTTCCGTAATACCAGGTGTTCCTTTTGAATGGAAATAACTTAATACCACAAAATCAAACGCTACATAGACAGGAATATTCTGACCGAAACAAAAACGAATAATTTCAAATGAATTTAAATTTTTTTGAAAAGGTCTGTTCTAAAATAGATAATGAGTAGTGCGGGGACGCGTTATTCTGGTGGAAACACTCGTTCAGCTGTAATATCAGAATGTACAGGGTGATTATGCGAAAATTAAGTGCGATAAAAGTTATAGGAAAGTTGTTTATTTAAAAGTTATAGGAAAGTTGTATATTTGACCTTTGGTAGAGGTAGTTCCACTTCATGGCCAGCAAAGTCTCCTGATCTTACTCCGTTGGACTTTTTTCTCCGGAAATATCTCAAAAACGTTTTAAAAATTCTTGTGATAATATTTCACGACAAACTTTATTGCAGACCATCCAGTACTATTCAAACTTACATTTCTAGAAGATGGTACGATATTTTAATTTTTAATATACCTAATGAGTGTCAGTTAAAAAAGTCAAAGTTGCTCTTAGAACGGTCTTCCCACAAATACTTTTATCTGAAATAACAAATAATATCTAAGATATTAAGCTATTTCCATTAAAATGCGATAATTGGCATGTTTTCTAGGCGCTTTTCCTTAAAAAATATTCAGGTTTGACTTAACGTAGTTTAGGGCCACAAAATGAAATTGAGACTTGCCTTCTCTCAAACCGTTGACCTTTATGTTTTTGAGATCGCTGATCTCAAAAACATAACAATCCCGGTATTCGTATAACCAGCACGTCTGGATCAAGGTTAAATGAAGGTCACCTTTACGTTTTTTGGGTCACTGATCACGAATCCAATCTCTCAGCGCGGCTAGCTCAAGGTCAAATAAAGGTCAAATTCCGTTATTCAAATGATATAACTTTTGTGATCCCGGCATTGGAAACAGCGAGAAATTTTACGTCCGAATACGTGTTGACCTGTTAGTAAAAGTGACCTCTGAAGGTCATTTGAAGGTCAAACCCAATTTTTGAATCTCCCGACTGGAACTCGGCTATCACATGAGCCGTCAGATGTATGACCTTATAGGAGTTGTGGAGAATCATGGGAACCATAAACTGATGAATTTCGATTTGACCATGAGAGTCTTTTCCCTTTCTTTCGGAATCCGTGGTCAAAAAAGTTATATCATTCCAAAAACGAAATTTGACCTTCATTTGACCTTGATCCAATATTTTTAACATACTTTTTATTCTATTATGTGTTTAATTGATACTTATACTAAAGGGAAAAGTAGTATTAGGCTTCTTTGACCTGCTCGTTTCCGTTGTTGCTAAACAGTTGTAACATTTTTCAGTTTGAAGATGCCGAAGATGTGCCGATGTAAGTAAAAGGATTGTATTGTATTCGTAACCGTAAACATGTTTTACCTTTTAGTTCAACGGACATGACCCTGGAGAGAGCATTACAGGAAGCACAGCAAGCTATCAATTATTTCTTTAATAACCAATTTAATGAAGCCAAACAGCTAATGACACCTTAGTAAGTAGGACTCTCTGATGTTCATTATATGTCTACCTAGATATTAATGGCGGTGATATTCCAGCAGATGGCTGGTCTAATTTGTACAGGGTGTCCCTATTTTTATATAGAAAAGTTCTAAATTTTCTCAACAACTGTTATTAAAAAAAAATTCGATATCTGTTTGCGTTAAACTTAGAAAATGATGTATAAAATTTAAGCAAAATTTATAAAAAAAAATAAGGTAAGTACTGATTCTTGGAATTTGTTCCAGTGCCAACGTTAGTATGTACCATTCCTTGGGCCATTCAGTATTTTTATTTTTGGAGGCTATACTGACTTTCGAACAGCAGTCCATTATTGAGGCATCGAAATCTTTGAAACAGTCGCTCATAGTGTGTAACAAGTATAAGAAAAAGAACACCATAGGTGAATCTTTAGGGAAAATTGTGAAGAGGACCAACTTCGAACAGTACACTGAAGAAGAGGCGCATGCAGAGTTATGTTATGCGGAATGTTTGCTACTTAAAGCCATGCTAACGTTCATGGAAGATGAGACTTTAAGTAGTTTTATTAAGGCTGGAATTAAAATCCGTTCGTGTTACAATTCTTATAAGTTAGTGCATGAAAGTGGGAACTCTTCCGTTGCATTCATGTTCTAATGTTTTAGGAACTGCCAACAAATCTTGATTAGAAGGAACTGGGAAAATGACAACAAAGTTCACTTCGAAAGTGGGGTAAAAATGGGTATAGGAACCTTCAACTTAATGATATCCTTGTTACCATCGAGAGTTATCAAACTCTTAGAATTTATAGGCTTTTCTGGAAATAAGGTGGAATTTATATATTGTAAAACGAATTCGTTGTTACTACAATTTTATTTTACAGCAAAAAGGGTTGGAAGATCTTCACGAGGGATATGAAATGGAAGGTCTTAGACAAATCTTATGCACAATGACCCTTTTAGGATATAATCTTATTGTGCTCCACGTGTTAAGCTATCGAGAAGGAGATACTAAAATTTGCGAAAAGATACTACAGAAACAGCTGGAGAGACATCCAGATGGCGTGTGGTTTTTGTTCTTTCAAGGAAGGCTGGACTTCATTAGAGGGCGACTGGACGAGAGCATAGTATGGTATACTAAATCGTGGAAATCCCAAAATATGTGGCCTCAGTTTCATCACATTTGCTATTGGGAGTTACTTTGGATCCATTGGTAATTATACATTTATAGTTATACACATTATACAGGGCGTTAGAAGTTTGACTGCCTTAATTTTAACAGACGATAGAATACATTGAAATAAACAAAAGAACTTTATATGACATGCGTCCTAAACTCAACCATTTCCGAGAAAAAAATTATCAAAATCTCCAACTTGATGTACGATTAATTAAGGAATATTGACATAACTGCGTGCATAGAATACCATAAGATACAGTGTTTGTCACGTTTTTGAACTTTATGCTTAATTCTAAAAAATAATTAGCGTTGTAATAAATTTAAAATTCGATAAAATTCATATCGAGCAATGTGACAACGGCGCGGCGGATAACACGAGGTACTAAGCTGTCCAGCATTACGCATTTCAGTTGGTATCTGGAATTGGACCGTGTCTCAGTGTTTTTTGCGTACCACTATTTCCTTTTCTTTAAGGTGTTTTCCAGCGAATGCGCGAAAATTGGATTCGAAGGTGTCGTGCGTGCATCGAAAATGGTGGTGGACATTTTAACTGTTAATTTTACGCCCCTGTAATATACAACTTTGTTGTTCATTTATCTCATGCTGAAGTAATGGCAGTCAAACTTCTTACACCCTGTATATACGTTACAATTTAATAAATATGCTTGTTTTATGACCTGCTGAGAACTCGACGCAGGTACATAGTTATTTTCTTATGTCTATGAATGTACTTTTATAGGAATATTTAAATTTTAACAAAGTTGAGTTTAATGAGGTTTTCGCGTGCAGTAAAAATTAACCCAATTCTCTCAGATTCAGTAAAGCATTTGATTCTATAATTGTGATTTGATGGCAACTGCACTAACATATCTAGGATTTTGTGAATGTGCTACAAATCTACCACGTAATTAATTAAAAATGTAATGAATACAATCTGAATCGATTCTTCTGGTTGAAGGGGTACCCTAAGGTTCAGTTCTTGGTCTTCTTATATTATGTACTGGTGTAACTAATAACATTGTATTAAAATTATGTAATTCACGCCTTGAAATCCGCAATAAAGCAAACACTGGTTCATTTCTTGGTATCAGAAAATACGATGATACAAGAAATCAGTTGATGAGAAATCGTTAGATTATTTCATAATCAATTTTTAGTCTAAAAGCAGAATGGAAGGAGGCTCTTACTTACAGTACGTACTTGAGAGAACAAAGCAAGTGGTCGAGGAGTCTGTACAGCTATCAAAAAGCAGCCATCATGTGCATGATGAGAGATGAATTGACGCCTTCGGATCTATCGGACATGGAGAAATTAATGAAGTAATGCAAAATAAACTTGTTATTGAATAAACCGATAACTGTTTTACAATTTTAGGGATGTTCCGAAATACAAACAGAGAATAGCCGGAAAATCTTTACCGATGGAAAAATTTGCCGTTAAAAAGGCTGAACGTTACTTTAATCAAGGCCAAGATTTAGTTTTACCGGCGATAGAGCTCATGTTCCTCTGGAACTTGTTTAAGATCTTGAAAAATTTTAGCGTTGCAACCAAAATATTTAAAATAATAGATAAATCATTACTGGAACTAAATTCTTCCATGAAGCCGTCCAAGTATCATAACGACAATAAAGCTTTAACTTTACTATTACGAGGTTCCTGTTTAAGACACATGGGAAGCCCTTTACAAGCCCTAGAGTGTTTAGAAAATGTTATTTCATTACAGAAAGACATAGTGGAGGATACCTATCTTGTTCCATATGCGATTGTAGAGCTTGCGTTGATCGAATGGCAGAATGGAAACCAAGAAAAAGCTATTTTAGCATTAGAAGACGCAAAGTAAGTAACAAACTTGTTTTTAAGCATATTGTGGTTAACCTTGAAACCACATACTTACACATACCCTTTTGACCCTATCAGAATCCTAAAATTGTAGATCTTGGTCGGTGTTAATAATAATCATCTCCTGACAAAAGTGTTTAAACATTAAAAATGGCAATGGCAACGGCAATATATAAAATAATTTTACTATACTTTTCAAATGATAAGTCTCATCTGAAGAAATCCATATAAGCTCTTTGACAAAGACTATAAAAATATATACCTAAAATAATGCGTTAACATTTGATACTCCGCCTGTGGTCGTTCTGTTATTTTAAAATCAGCAAAAAATTAATATGCATTTTATTAATCTTACAATTTCTGTCACACGCTCATAATAAACGTTTTATTTTGATAAGATAAATTCAAAAGTAAATGAAACAGTAAATAGAAGATAGTAGTTCGTAAATAATGAGGTGTGATTTCCTAAAAAAATATTACGATTAAACTAACCTCATTTTATTTAGTCCTAGTGAAAAATGAAAAAGTTTTCTCTCTTTTCAACCCAATCCGTGGATTTTACTGAAATTTGAATTTGAATTGATATTTGAAAATAAAAAAAATTGATAATCGCCTGTAATTTTGTTTTCTTTAAATCTACTTACATTACTTATTTTTTGTTTTTATTATTTTAGTCAGACTTAAGGTAATACTAACTTTCAATATTAATTTTCAGGAAGAACTATACTGGTTATTCACTGGAATCGAGATTACACTTCAGAATACATACAGCTCTTTCCGAATTTAAAGCGGAAATGAAAAATCATCACTAATGTTACCAAATATTTTTTTTTGTACATTATGTAAGTTCCTTTGCATTTATAAGTTATACATATAGAGATGTATATCCTACCACTTTAGTTTGCAAGGCTGTGTTTTATATATATACCTATATATTGAAAATAAATAGTAATATATTGCATAAATATCGTTTTATTTATATACGTACTATAACAATCAAGAATAATTATAAAAAAATGTACCTACGATTACATATACGGCGATTATTAAAAGTGAACTCCAAAAAATCGAGCATAAAAATATATATTTCATCACATAATTTTGTGATTCTTTAATTCTTCTACTATTCTGTCATTATTTTATTCTCTTTAAGAATAAAGTTCAATAGCGTGAAGTCGAAACCCTAAAAAATTTAATAATTTGAATTTGATCACAATTCATCAAGCAACTATTTTATTGTGTAGGTAAATGCTAGGACAAGTTTTCTTTCGAGTTTTTGTTATTCGCTTTTTTAATTTCATCATAAACTATTTCATCCCTTTCGTTGGGAATGAATTTTTCCAACTCATGGTCTGGAGCCACAAGGCTAGCACTTCTTTGGTGCAGTTTAGGTGTGCTATTGGCCAAATCAGGGAACAACTAGAAAATTATAATATTAAACAGTTATCTTCCTCGAATATATTAATTTACCTTTCCGCTACTATTCGGTTTGTTGATATAATTGTTCGACGCTTTGAAATTTTGATTAGAAACTTTGGACTGATTTATTTCAATAGCCGATTTAAGTAAATCAATTTTGGAATTCGTGCTTTTGGCTTGTTTCAGAGGCGTGCCCACACTTCCTCGCCTAATACTGTTACTTCTTGTCCTCACCATGTGGTTCCTTCCTAGCGAGGTTATAGATCCAATTTGGTTGTATTCTACGACTAAACTTAATCGCTCAAAACTGACCATGGTGGACTGATCTTTATATTTGGGTTCGCCATCTTTAAGCTTTTCAGGCTCATAACCTAAAAAATACAATTGTACATTCGTTGATATTGTGATACAAACTATCTCTTACATATATCTTCTTCCTCATCTTTTATATCAATTTTCCGTAACCAAAAGTAGTAGAGCAAAGCGTACGATAATCCGGAGGTAACTGCTACCATTCCCATCAACTTAAAGGCTTGTCTAATCCCTACCTTGCCTATAATATGACCTCCAACAAAACTACCACTACCTCTGCCTATACTGAAATGCGCCATTGCGCAGACGCCGATAAGAGTAGCCAATAGTCCTTTAGGGGCTATTACAGCACAATATGTAGCTGCAGCTACCCACATCAGATGTACGGATAATGATTCCATTGCTTCGAAAGGAAAACACCACCAAGCGCTCCTAAAAGTTATTGTTTATGTCGGTTTTTATACATTTATTTAATAACTTACTCTATTACGGAATATCCAACAAGCCTAGCTGCGTGTGCGAAAAATGCGACAATAATGATGTTAATATGTCCAATTTTCTTCGTGATATTATCCGCCCCGTATAAGAATGGCAGGCTACTTATTGTCCCTACAGTAACTGTTATTCCAAGTAGATAGTTCGGAGCCCCTAAATCTCTGAGATAAAAGAACAAGAAGCTTTCGATGAATCCCCATAAATTACCAAGAATGTACAAGAAAAATATAAACAAGACCAAATGTGGCATCTTGATAATGCTTAGTAAATCCCTGAAGACATTATCCGCTGGTAATTTCGTACCCAACGGCATCATAAAAACTGCCACGGCTGAAACTAGCAGTAATACGTCGAAGGTGTAAAAGGCCGCCGAATAATCTGTGTAGCCTAATCTTCTACTGCTCCAATCGATTAAAGCGCCGGTAATGGGCGAAAACAGAGCCATACCTAGACTTGAAAACAACCGTTCTTTTCCAAAATCCCCTCCGTATTTCTCTATCATAGCGAGTGCGATTGGATCCATAATAGTTACTGCTGCCGTCATCGTTATACTTCCTACAAATCTAAGTACGAAATAAGTCCAAAAAGTTTGATCATCCGACTCCTTATAATCTGGCGGACAAACTTCTGGGCCACCCGAACGGAACTGACACTTTTGCAATATACAATCACTGGTGTAATTCGTCAAGCGGTCTTTTGTACTAACATTCGCTTGCAGCACAAGTCCCCCACACCTCAGATCTTTTCCTTCTAATTCCTTTACATCCACGCCGTTTTTCTTTAACATGCCAGACTTAAACCTTTTTTTGAATTCCGTCACATCGTCGTCTTCCTCTGCAGATTCCAGTTCTATACCGAACTGTTCCACAGCGTCCCCAAGGTTTGGGTGCATATCTAACGTGAACTGTGTAGCAGTGTCGTTCCTTAAATAACGAATGAGTCGTTATATTATACTATAGTTAGTCTTGTATACTTACCTCTTTTTCTTCTTCAAATGGAAGACTAAATCGTCCATATCGCCTGGATCGCTGCCGTTTTCAATTTGCATTTCTTTTAACAGCTTTGCATCCAACAGTAAACAGTGATCCACGCACATGTCAAGGACTACGTCCAACTCCTCCATTTCTGGGCAAGATCTACTCGGACATGGACTCCACCAAACTTCTACTATCATTTTCCGGGGATGCCGAATAACGTACCCATCTGGCACTACTCCTGGCCTCTCTTGATGTGGTATGAGTAGCAAGACGTGGTGTATGGCTGCTGTCAGGATGAAGGATATAATGACCACCGGTTTATACCTTCCGAATCTGTCTACCAAATAGCCCGTTACCGGAGGGGCGAGAAAAGTTGTAAAAGGCAATGAAAGGTATATCAGTGCAATCTGTTCCATACTCAAGCCAATGCTCTGCATATGGATAGTTAAGTAAGGCACGAGCGATGAAGTAGCTACAAAAAACGTTTATCTTTAGTTCCAATTGTTAATAAGTAGTATTGAACGCACCTCCGTAAAGGAAAAATAGAGTCAGCTTCAACATGATCAAATTTTTGTTAATACCGAAACTTTTCTTTTTGGGTACCTCTCGATTTTCCTCCATTTCTGTCGCTGTGTTCTCAGGCATTTTCTGAAGATATTACTGTCGTCTATTACAACCGTGAACAAAGTGGAAACTGATGTGGCTCTTTAGAATGTGTTATAGTTCCTATTATTTGTTGAGAATACAAGATAGTGTCAAGAACAAGTATTTGCTTATGTATGTCTTGTGTTATTAAAAGACGACATTCGCCACTTTATATTATCTCGTGTAACATCCACAGTTCTCTATTTAATTAAATAAGTAAAACAAGAATACAGTATTTAGGGAGTTTGTTTGAACATATTTAAACGTCATTGTGCAAGACAACTAAATTTAGAAAGATAATTTATTACCCCTTTATACTTTTTGAAATTGTTATTTATATCTGGTATCCTTTAATCTTTTGTTCAGAATGCATACATATGAGCAGGTACATCACTCTTTGAAACGCATTGTTTTCGATATGTGATTACGGTCTGTATCTTTTACCTACGTTGCTCGCTATCACTACAAACTACATTGACAGATATTGACTGATTGAAAAGAAAAACATTAAAAAACTTAAAGTAAACCAGAGTTGGCATAGATAAATTTCAACGAAGAAAATTGGAATTTATATTCAAATAATTTAATTTTTGGAATAACACTAATTCCTACTTATGAAAAAATCTGAACGGTTATAAAGAAATCCTGATTTAAGGAGAATACTTAACAGCTTAATAATGACGCATAAATTTGGTTTGTATAATAAATTATAAATAATTCCAATTTAAACAAATCTTTCACATACGTAGTTTTTGTGTACGAAATTTGATTTAAATGTTAATCTCAGAAGATAATAAACCAAGGTCGTTATAATAAGTCTCTTATGTATTAGATACTGCCATTGCCATTATATCTACAAGATTTTTAACAGAATAAACCGTGAGCTAATTTTATAGTAGGTACTGTTTTTATTTAATTTGGTATTTTGTCACACTGAACAGAAGAAACATCTAATTAAAAATATTGTACCACAGGACAAGTTAAATTTCGAAATATTTTCAGCTTTTGTTTTCAAAACATTTAATCAGGGTCAAATATGATAGTTTTCCTTTTTTTATCAATCTCCTATAGAGATTAATAGATGAAGGATATCACATAATATTTATTGTTGTAATTATCAAAATTTAGTGAAAAAAAAACTAATTGTGGATTTTTTTAATTTTCTTTTATCGAGTTACTTTCTCCTGCTAAAATTTTATGTTATTTCGTTGAGTAACATCACCATTTTGCTACCCTCGCAATATTTCTGGTTGGGAAAAAAGATCCCTTTTGCATAACTTGTTTATTATTTTTTATATGTTAAGTACTTGACAGAAAAAAATTTAGGTGAATCAAGTTCTTAAATAGCATTCTTTGAATTGCACATTTTCAGTTCCATAAAAAGATGCGGATAAACATTAAGAGTTGCAATTTTTAACTCTTTCGAACTGTGGAAAATAAAATAAAAACTAAATTTTCATCTACCACCTTAAAGGATAGCAAACGTTTTTGGAAAGGAATCGCTCCTTAGAATTTTTCGCAATATTAAAGAAACACCCTGTATATTGTAAGTGTTACACGTACTCAAATCAGAAAACTGCGAAATATGCAACTTATAGTCCGCATAACTGATTTGAGGTATTTTCCAGTAAAGCATCAATTAGTCATTAAATAAATTATTAGTGTAACAAAAGACGAAGATTTATAAATTCACTGACTTTTGTTAACATTGCGTTTTGCGCAAATTTGAACCTTCCCTTATATTTAACGCAAAGGATATTGATTTTATACGTTGGAGTGGAATTCACTTTTCCGATGGAAAATACCGATATGTAGAACAGAAAAATGTCATATTAACTTTATTGGGACGCGCCTGTTTGAAAAATTAAATATTCGTGTAAAATATAAATGAAAATATGCATTTGGTTTCCTGCAAACTTAGTATTTATTATGCAACATAGTGTTTTTGCGCAGGTCTCGGGATTGTGAAGGGTGACCCGTATTCGTATACAATTTCGTGGTTTTGCTACGACATAATGGCAGCAGGTTGATTTTAAAAGCCATGGTATTATTACACTGTTTTCCGTTAAAAATTATTTTCCGTTTTCAAAATGATTTGCAGAAATATCCGGTTTTTCGTGTTCTTCAGTGCGCCAGTTCATAGAGAATTATTATTTTCCTGCTGACATATCTTGGAAAAAAAAATGTCAAGTTTGGCAATGAAGAGTAAAAAAGGAACGGTAATCCATCGCACCACCAGTGAAACTCTGCGACTTGGTGACGATATTTTGAACAATCATAATCAAGGACGTGTACAAACCACTAATTCCCGAAAGAAGTCTCAAACCACGTCACCTAGCTGTTCATTCCAAATAACAGGCGTTAGTTTGACTCGTTACGATGTTGGAGATGACTCGGCTGATGACTTGGATGAATCTCACACCGACGACATATCTAGGATAACGGATAACGAAACTCCCAGTTTCTCTGAAGACTCCCGAGACAATGACGACCAGCCACAGCAAATTGTGTACACTACAGCTGCAACAGTACCTCTAAGTGCGCCAAAAATCGACACAGAAGCTAAACGAAAAGAAAAAGAAACCAGAGATGTGGGTCTTGGCCGCTTTAAGGTAGTTAAGATAGAAAGTGTTGTCCCTTTTAGTAGAGGCCGTTGGACATGTTTTGATTACTTAGACCAGTCAGAAAGTACCAAGTCCTCCTACGTTTTTTGCAAAAAACTTGGAAATGATCTGCCAGAAATTTTGGATTCAGCAAAACCTCGCACGTGTTCCGCAACTGCATTTATAGATCCAAATTATATAGAAGTCGACGACAGACAAAAAAGGATTCCAAATACTTCTGCCTTTTGGGAAACTAACTGCCAGGAATCCTATTTATACTCAGGGGCCATAATTATGCCTGACACTACCGCCCTGTTTCCGGTACCACTAGCACGACCTCCAAAAAATAAGGTCAAAACTTCTTGTCCAACAACTCCTAATATTATACCACTGGTTAGACCGATTAGACCTTCAAGGCCATTTTTCACTTCTCCTAGTTTCGATTCAGCTATGACAAATGCAGCAAATGATAAGGTATGTTGATGAATTTCTGCTTGCAATACTATATTTGTTACACCTGCTTTTTTTCTAGAATATTCTAATAAATACTTGTCCTGCCAAAAACGGTGTAGATGTAGACAATCCTCAGGATATTTGCAAGGAAGTAGCTATAGAGGATCCAAACAAAAACGCTGGGTAAGTTCTATAAGACCTATTCTCTTTTATTATTTTCTTTATATCGTTTATCAAATAAATAGCTAGTATAACAATTATCTATTATTTTATTTTGACATAGATTCCGAGTTTTTGCCATAGAGTATAGTAAAATATAAAACAAATAATAAATTAAAAATGATGATATATAACTAACTGATGAACTCTTTAAAATGTTGTGGTAGTAGGAGAAATATGTAGAAAATGCATTTTCAGAAATCGAATTTCTCATCATAGGATATAACCACAGACCAGATATACCAAACAGTTTTTATAGTTTGTAGATGTAATAATAAATAAATAAAGTTTAAATAAATAAGTGTTATGAAAATAAAAGAAAAACCTTTAGGGTGATTCTACTTATACAAATAATACGTCATGAACACTTGTGGTGTTTTTTTTTTCATTTTAGCGATTTTTGCATCATTGGTACATTTATTATTGGTAACAAACTGCACCAACGAGAAAAGAATAAACAAAAGTCTGAAACCCTAGAGTTTAAATGACTTTAATTGACTAGATAATTGATGGTAACTTTTCTATATATAGATTAAAAAAAGTTAAACAACTGGAAAGATCGTTCAAAAATGTTCTCTTGCGCCAAAACGATAATATCTTCCCGTTTAATTAATGTTTTGGGATAATTAGAACAATAACCATATTATTCGTTCAAATCCCACATTTTTTTCAATTTCACAATGTTTATAAATTAATCAATGCTATTGGATTTTAATACTTACAATTGGATAAAGAAAATTCCCTTTTTTGTTCAAATCCTGCTCCATTCACTTATACAGCAAATTTGACATGTTTTTAGGATTGCCCCAAAACATTAAGATTGTTCTTTCTCCAGAACGGTTAATGTTCTCGATACAAAAGTATTAAGAGGTCTTTAGGGCTTCATATTTTGATTTTATTTCCTATATGCAGTTTATTATCAGTAGTTTATTATCAATTAACATGTTTTTAAAATTTCATTTTTCAGTTTTGTTCATTTGGGGATAACACAGAAGTGAATAATTTCTGTATGAAATAAAAAGCATATTTCAATAAAAAAATCACTTAAATCTTTTTCGAATTTCCTTAAAATAGAAATATCTTCAATGTTTACTAGTGTTTGTTGTGTAGAGAAAAAACGGTTCTCTTTTGAAAGTACTCAAATTATAATTGTATACTAAAATAAATTTGAAAAAAAGCCCAGCTAGGTATTAATTTACAAAATATCTCTGATGTTACGTTAATATCGCGTTTTCGAAAGTGTCATAGGCGATCGTATGATTGTACACGTATATTCAATTTAGATATTTGCACTACACATACAAAATTTGAATACCGCGGCTAGGTTAGGTATGTGTGAAGCGATTTTAGATTCGAAGAATATGCTGCGCATAGCGATCGATAAAAGTGACGCAGCCGCTATAAGCATATAATTGTGTAGTGCAATAGTTAAACTTCTATACTGGCTCTACCGAAAGCTTTCTCTGATTTTGAACGTCACTATGAAAATCTAATAAGGACAATGGCATCGAGCCATCGTCATCCTGCAGAAAATCCTTCGAATGGGACGCACAACCCGGGTCCGCCTGTGGATGCAACTTTTGCATCTGAGTTGCCTTTGGTAATGTCAGATCTAAATTTTAACGAAGCTACTTTTTTTGCTGTTTACTGTTTTATACGGAACTTCGTAGGGTAAGAATTTCACTATATTTTTTTATTTATTAACGCCGCATATATGAGGTACCCTCGGTATATTTTTAATTGGCATTTTTGCTCTAGGGCGTCAGTATCTTGTACTGCCACCATTGACACAAAAATTGAACATGCTTTGGTAAGTTGTTTTTTCATTTCTATTTTTCTAAATTATAATTTAATCAGTGCCGCTTTAAAATATGGATGTGTTCATTGAAGGGTATACATTTATGTTCCCACTTTTTGGACGCCATAAACATAGAGACAAATCGATTCCTATTGTGGTTATAATTATACATGATTCCTAGCCTTCCCTTCCCTAGAATGTTAATGGCTCACTTTAATGTTAGTGGTATTATGATCACATTGGAATCAAAACCTGCAGTTTTTACCGATCTTTTATAATATAACAAAATGACAAATTTTGAATATGTTGTCTACGAAAATACAAAAAGGCTCTGAAAATAAAGTATTTTGCTAAATTTTTAAGACTTATCCTAATATTATTTGTGTTTCTGATTAGGATGTTGTGAAAAATCATCTGACCCATGCAGTTCGTCTAGAGGTAGAAGAGCTGAAGGTAAAGATAAACGAATTGGTTGACCGCATATCTTATTTAGAATATGAAAACGATTTGCTGAGAGCCAATGTGGCCCCAGACGTATTGGCGAATTTGGGAAATTCCGGAAGAAAGTGAACAACGTTGGTCTGTGTTTAAAATGCATTTTTTCATATGTGTACCCCAAAGGTGTGATCGTGACTAACCTGTATAAGAGATGCTTGGTGCTATGGAATTTGATATGTGATTTAAATTGGTTGTTTAAACCTCTAGTCTTCGACCTAATTAGGTTTTCAGTAAGGATATTTTTTCTTCTATCGGACTGCATGTTATTACGGATGAATTAAAATTATGGCTGTGCTAAAACTCATATACATACTCATATAATGAATAGTTAGAATACCCAGTGTATGCGATATTGTTTACGTTCGTGAACTATTTTTCTATTATTTATTGTTAAGTTTCACATTTGGTTTGAAGCAATACCAATATCACGTATAGATTTAAAATTATTCTTATAAAATCTTAATGTCATTCGAAATCGATATTGTTATTTTCTCATTCTAGTATTACTACAAGTATTATTATAGGGTAAACTTTTACCTATTTCCGTGTTATAGACATGTATTTTATTAATAATAGCTCATTATTAGTTTATATAACAAATAAGCTCCGGTATTTCATACCACAAAAACCGGCGCTACTTTGTTTATATATTGGTCTTGTTATTTTACATATATAAAATACATTTTCTGAGTTGAATATGTTTTATTTGTTCCTACGCCCTTTCAGTTTTATACGTCTCCTCTTAACAGGTAACAAAATAATATAAATACTATGTATACTACATTCAATTTTTGACGACACGCTAGGATATTAATAAAATTTCAATATGTTTTTAAGTTTTGGAGTCATCGAAATTTTAAGTGACGTCAGTCTCGGTTATAGTTGGCCTTTTTTCTTTTACATTCTTGTAAAATCTATAACGGTTTTCGATTTACACATTAAAATTATATATTTTTTAATAGAAACCATAGTTAGCTATGGTCTAATTAAATAAAGTTGTTCGGCGTTTTCCAAAAATATATCTAAAAAGTAAAAGTTGGGCATGGCCATCTAAATTTAAAAGAATAAAATTGCCCGTAGAGTCTTGAATTCGTGTTGTGATTAACACCTTATCAAAAAAAAAAAAAGGTGGGATATACAATATGTCCATGCAAACACTCAAATCAAAGAAAATCGAAAAGAACACTTCGAAAACTATTTAAAAATATTAACTGCACGCTACTGAACTTTGGCCGACTGTAATACTTGATCTAGCGCAATGCACACGCGATCAATCGACACGTATAAACAGTTTAAAACGAATTCAATTACAGTTTTTATTATTGTTGTTAGTTTTTACTATTTTTAAATGTAATCAGTACATCTTATAATCAGCATTTTAATTAAGAAAAAAGTTATATTTAAGTGATGTTACAACTGTTCAAAATTTTGTCCATCAGCACATTCGGGCAAGACAAATTCTTCCTTCTTGCTGGATTGCAGTCGTATTATTATTGGCAGTAGTTGCAGCACGTTCACGTAAATCATTAATAGTTTCCACTTCAGTACGATACACTCCACTTTTTAAATATCCCAATTAAAAGTCAGGAGTGTTTATTATAAGTCAGGAAGCCACGGTGGCTATCCTCGCGGTGGTCGTCTTTGTCCAATCCACCGTACATCTTCAATTGCATTAAGGTAAACTCGAATATTTTGTCGAAAATGAGGGGGCGTAGCATCGTACTGGAACCGTATCCGTTTTCGAACAGCTAAAGACGTATCTTCAAAAAGTTCAGGTAGAAATTTGAGATTCTGAAAACCATCCATTCGATTTGGCAATATGAACGGTCCAATTCAACGATTGTCGACATTCTCTGCACTAACGTTAAAAAAAACGGTGCTGGAAATGACCTGGCTAAATCACGTGGATTTTTAAGTACCCAAGTACATCATTTATCCCGTTTCGTGTAAACGCAGCTTTATTCGTTACACAAAAGGCGTACATCGGGAATTCTGAGCATTATCACAATCAATCACAACATCTAGTCAGTATAATTCGCTGGTAGTTGTTTATAATACATTGGATACAAGGGATATACATTGTGACTCTCATGTAGTACGCGCGACATTGTTGATTGGGACAATCCAGGCACTTGTAGAACGATTTGTACTGATACAAAGATATAAACAAAATAGTGCTAGCGTACATTTTATATTATTGATCCGTTAAGGTGTAATAAAAGTGCTCCTTTCTCAAGTTATAGGAGTTGGTCGGTGGTGCATATTGTAAAAATCGCATTGAAATACGATAAAGAGCCCTCGGAAATTAACGAATTATTTTTTTCGTAAATTACATAAAAGACAGAAGCACAACATTCTTTTCTACACAAACATTTGTCAAATATTCTTCTCGCTATTCTAATTCTTGCAGGCGATCGGCCAAACTAAAATTCATACAGTTTCTGGGTCGGTACAAAAAAATAAGGATTTTTTTTCAAAACATGGTTTCTTTCTACGAATTTGGAACTTGCAATAAAAACACTTCGGTGCCTTACTTAACAGCTCAAAAAGTCCCAGGTTCTTTGAAAAGTGCCGTGTACATATTTTTGAAAAAACAAATGCTTAATTTTTTTGTAGCAGCCTAGTAACACAATGAAACCTGGTTAGGTCGTGTTTGGCAACGAAAAAATGTATGTAAATGGTTTATTCCGACTATTACGTACATATCAAATCAAATTACAGACTGATAAACTGATAAGCAAATATAATAATATTTGTAGAAGAGATCCTGTCCTGTTTTACAACCAAACATACAACCACTCGCAATTCCTCTATCTTTCCTAAAAATAACTTCATATCTTGTGATGGAAATTTCAAGGCGAATACCTGTAATAGAGTGCTAGTACATTTTGGGCTTCCACATTTTAACGTGACAATATTACATGCCCGGCTTTCAACAAATACGGCCACTCAAGATTTTCGTCTCGCTCACATTTTTCTGTACCGAACTTTGTAATGTATGTTAACCTGAGGATGATCGCCTAATAGAAAGTACAATATTTACAATAACAAAATAAAAAACAATAATAGAGGATTATTAAATATTTACAAAATATTACAAATAATGGTTGCTTATTTTCGCCAATACTATTAATTAAGTAGGCAGGTAAGTTAATATTTTTTATGAAACTATTTACAGCGTTTTCAACTTTTGTATTCTTATTTTCAAAACAACAGTTAAAAGCAGGACAAGGGCAAAAAGTTAAGGACATTTTTATTTGTCTTACGAATGCAATATATTATACATTTTTAGTAAAAAATATATGCAAATGCAAAAATACATATTTGTTCGTTATTGTGTTAAAACTTTTCTACCAGCCAATAAATTTTAAACAATACAAATAAAAATACAATATTTTGGGTTAAATATAAAAAGGATTCTAATTATATAATATTATGCATTAATTACTTTTTTTGCGTAAATAATACAAACACAATCTGCGTTAGATTGAGAATCCGGCAGGGCATGATTGCCGGATTGTGCAAGTCTTGTATATTTCGGAAAAATATACAAATTTGTAAAATTAAGGACATTTGACGTGCTGCGAAAAAGTCTTGGCAGGACGCAAGACATTTAATGCAAAATTAGTTTAAATGGTGGCCGTGCACCGAAATTTAGGGTGGCTGGTGACCGTAATTTACCCTTAAATAAAATTTTACTTTAATCAAAATTTTCATGCAGTTGTGTACTAAAAAATATTTCAAATATTTTATACGCCACTTGATACAGGTTCTAACGCTATTTTAATAATTTTTATTCATATTATATCTGCTATAAATAATAAAGAGTGCAATACGATTGTATACGTCCAACCGTATAATATTCCCTACATTAAGGTATTAAAAAGCCACATTGCTTACATATCCGGATTTTTCAGTTTCTAATTCAAATCAGCCTGTCTAAATTGTGGAGTTCTGTATTCAAACAAATTAGTAGTAGTAGTAGGTTATGTAATTTTACAATTATTCTCCAATAAACCAACTATACTCCGCGGTCGAAATTATAGAGAGTGATTCAGACATAATATAAAAACACTATTACCGTAATGTGTATAAAATATAAAATGATTTTTATACGGTTCAATATTATTTATCTTTGTGCCGCTCGCTACGCACATCGATATAATCTATAATCGTCTATAGACTGAGTTACACTGAACGTCGATCTATATTATATCACTGTCTTTTGCACTTGGTAGGGAATAGGGAAATGCTTTTTTAGTGGGTGTAAACGGACTTGATTTACCCGTCCTGAGAATGTCATAGCATAAGCGTAGACGAGGGGTCTAATTCCATAGCTATAATAAATTTATAAATTAAAAAAACACAACTGGGACGTTTTAAAATGCTGTAATAATTAAAATGGATCAAAGTGCCTGTTATAGCAAACCGTAAAAAATATTAGATGTTATGTTTTATTATCTTTTTTCAATATTTTATATAT